ATACTTCACTGACTAAACGAGAGTGAGCAACATTATGTCGTCTAAACTGAGAGGCAGGGTTTTAGGACAATGTCTTCTACAGAACAGAAATGAAAACAGAAGAAAAACATTACTTTGACTACTTTAAGATAACTTGCACGTCTAAAAATGTAACAAATGGTATAACGAGGAAGATGAGCTCCTATTAAAATGTGTATTCTCATCCTTTATGCTCCTTCAGAGGACTGCTCTGATCAGGTCTGACATCTAGAGAGTAAAGGCAGCATTAACTGAGCCAGAATGCTGATGTCTCTAGTGTTTAGCTTGAGCTAAATCTTCACTCAGTAACAGAAGCTGTTTCAATTGTAGCGGAGTAAAATACCTCGAAATGAACTTAAAAGTAAAATACATCAACTTTGTTTCTCACTCTGCCATCAGCAGCCTCATCTGTAGCTGTCTGATGTGTCTCCTGATGAGGAGCATGCTCTCCTTGACTCTCTGCTCTGGTCTTGTGGTTGCATCTCATCTTAAATGTAATTGTAAGATTCAGAATTAGGATAAACAGTTAGATTAAGGTCCAGGCTCTAACTTGACCACTCCAGAACATTCACCTTGCCGTCTTCAAACCATTTCTGTGTAGCTTTGGCAGTATGCTTTAGGTCATTGTCTTTCTGGAATTTTTTTATTTTTTTAAATCTTCTCCCAAGTTGAGGTTCTCTTGCATCAGGTCATTCTCCAGCATTTCCATATACTTTGGTACATTCATTTCAATGTTTACTTTTACAACACCTCTGAGGTCTGATTCTAAGAAGCATCCCCACATCATGATGCTGCCACCACCGTGCTTCATGGTGGGCTTCGTGTGTCTCTGATGATATGCAGTGTTTGAACATAGCATTCAGTCTGATGGCCAAAAAGCTCGATTTTTGTCTCATTAGATCCAAGACATTTCCTCCAGCTGACTTCAAAGTCTTGCACATGCCTGACAGCAAACTCTTATTAGGATTTATGTGAGGTTTTTTTGAACAATGGCTTTCTCTTTGCCACTCTCCCATGAAGCATTGACTGGGCAACAGTTGTTGTATGCACAGGAATTTTCATGGACGTGATGCTGACAGCCCAGGAATTAGATCATGTGGTCGGCTTCACTAAGGCTTGGGTGAACAAATGGTGGTGATAGACACTTCATTATTAGTAATGAGAATTTTTGATAGTTTCACTTAAAATGCAACGTTTGGTTGCATAAACAAACCATAATCGTGCCTCCTTTCTGGATCATAAACAGCCTGTAAGATACCTTGATAATGGAGCTTCTTCACCCTGTGTTGCTCTCCTTGTTGCTTCCCTGCAGATCTCCTGAGTCACGTTAGTCTTCGGCCACCTGGGTCTTTGGCCTCCTCTGTCCACTTTTGGGATTAGCAATCTACAGAATACTAATACAATGCTATGTACAAATACAACATACTGCGTATTTTTCACTGATTAGTTAGCTACCAGCATATTCCGAAAATTAAGAAAAAAAAATCTTGTAAGAAAACAGGCCGACTTCACATTGATTTAATTATGTAGGAAGTGGTTGCTTGACATTTCATGAAGTTTTCCCTGCTGTTGGTCTGAATCTCTCTCTGTTCAAGTTTTATCCTTTTGGAAAGCTGCTTTGAAGCTGCCTGTTTGTTAGCCAGCAGGCAGTATTGCACAACATGGAAAAAAACATGATTATTTCTGCTGTAAAGTTGGACAACATGTGGGTCGAAACCCCAAGTGGGCATTTGGGGAACTGCAGTTACTGGAAATACAACTTTGGCTTCACTTTTCAGAACGGAAACTTTGATGTCAAGGCTGAACTGATTGGATTTTAGTGGTACATTACTTTACAAGTACACCTTTCTGCACAATGTGACCCAGCAACACAACTGACAAGGGCAGCTTCATGTTTGCTCACGCTACATTATCAGAAAATGAACTGAAACACATCATGCCACACTAATTTTTGCTGCTTGATACAAACAGAAAACTCACATGGTTCTCATTTATTATGACTAATCTACAAGAGAAGTCTGTCTGATGGAGCATCAGTTATTCTGATTTAGGGGCTTTTGGATACACTGACTTTTTGCTTTTTAACTTTATTCAAATGACGCAGAGTTCGTTGATACGCTGCACATGTGAACAGCAAACTGAGCGAAGAAAATGAGCGAAACGCTGAAAGAGAAGATTAGGTTCCAAAAAAGACACAGCACTTGTGTGAAGTATTTCTCCTACAGCATGATGGATGTCTGCAGTGTCTTGCAGCTGTTGCCAATACAAAAGGTAACACGACTAATTTGTTTGAGCATGTAAATCAGCGACACAAGGCTCCACATGACGACTGCAAAGTAAAATCTGAATGACATTTATAGGAACTTTTTTTTTTCGATGCCTTTTTCAATGTCAGTAAGGTTATGAACAGCTTTTTCAGCTGTTTAAAAATGTACTTTCTCTTAGTCATTCAAACCATCTGATAAAAATCCCTCTATTTTTTCATATATATATATATATATATATATATATATATATATATATAATTTAAATATATATTTCTACATTTAGGGCTGCAAGGTGGCGCAGTTGGTAGCACTGTTGCCTTGCAGCAAGAAGGTGGCCGGTTCATGTTCGGGCACCGGGATCTTTCTGCGTGGAGTTTGCATGTTCTCCCCGTGCATGCGTTATGCATTGTCATACTCTACAAAAGACATTTCTGGGTCTCCCCGTGCAGCGTGGGTTCTCTCCGGGTTCTCCAGCGTCCTCCCACACAGTCCAAAAACATGTTGAGGTTAATTGGTGTAGAATGTGAGTGTGCTTGGTTGTCTGTCTCTAAGTGTAGCCCTGTGATAGACTGGTGACCTGTCCAGGGTGTCCCCTGCCTTCGCCCTAAGCCAACTAGGAAAGACTACAGCCCCCCAGCGACCCTAGTGAGGATGAAGCGGTGCATAGATAATGGATGGATGGATTTCTACATTTATTTCATCGTAACATTATGTAATTGACAGTGAATTTGCATACTGATGTGACAGGCTAATCAAGTGGCATCTGCTGTTGTTAGTTTGTGTTGGTGGAACACACCACCAGAGAACAGGAACATACAACCATAGAACCACCACATGCTACTGAACCAGCAGAAGCCTGCAGATTGATTTCACTGCGCCACTTTAGTCTTTTTTTATTTAAATCAACGTCCAACTTTCCTGGTTTCCAGCGTGTCTTCTTGCCCTCAGCCCTTCTCCCCTCTCAGGCCTTTGCTGTCTCAGTCTATAACACATCTCTCACAGAGGAAGTCTCTCTGTCACAATGTGCAAGCTTTTCCTTCCAGGAGACGATTGATGCGTCTCCCATCTCTGTGACTGACAGACTACATAAACAGCTAAATGCGTGGCTCAGAGCTGTCTGGCAGCCGGGCCCCCTGTGCAGGCAGAGGCTGTACTCACACTGATGTCCTGGGGGCCTGTGAGGGAAGACGAGGCCGGGGGCTGGCACTGTTCTTAAACGCCTACACCCCCGATGTAGATACACAGTGTGCAAGCTGCTATTCTGAGCGCCGCATATAATTTGGCGTTATGTTCTCATGGTATTAACTTGTAATCTTAATTAATTCATGAACATTTGGACACATTTTGGAAGCATGTGTGATGTTTCCAGTGATATATCACACAGCAAGTGTGTAATCGCCGCTTTGTGGTGCCCAGAAGGGAGGCAAAACGGATCGGGCCAAATTATGAAATGCTGTTATACACCTAATTTTGCTCTACATTCGCTCATTCCTAAACGTGGAAACGCAGCAAAACGATGCAGTGGTTACACTTATTTTCTGTCATATTTTCCACTTTGTCTGCTTGTGTTTGCTTGAAAAGCTTTGTTGGTTGGTGAGCTCTGTGCTGGGGAAGGAGCAGGCTTCTGCTTCCATCTGCTGGTGAAAATGTGTTTCTCTACCAACCCCTGAGGACTGAGGAGGTAATACTGGACGACTTTGTTCTGCCCGAAGTGAAGGACAACAGGCAGGTTGTGGTAGAAGAAGTGCAAACTGTACTGGCAGTGAATTTGACTTCTTTTCTTTCTCAGTTTCAACTGCTGAGAAAACTTTCAAATTTAGAAAACATCTTCATAAATTTGACAGCAGAGGTGCAGGACGATGATAGATGGATGAAGGTACAGTATTTAAAAATAAATAAAAAATGCTGCACACACACACAACTAAATACAGAAACAAGCTTGAACAATAGAAGTGAAATGAAATTGTAGAATAGAAATGTTTCCAGAAAGTGACGGACAGAGCCAGAAGAATAGTTTCTAAAGGAAATGGAACGATCCCCAATCTCCACCCTACGTTTGTGATTTCTCTAAATGACACAAAAAGGAGGAATGGAAAGGGCTTACTAGAAAGTGGATGAAGAATGTGGTACCTAAGGTTGACGACTGGGTTGAGGTTATGCACAACATACATGTGATGGAAAAGTTCACTTTCCTCGTGAGACTGGAGGTGGACAAATTCAAAAAGATTTGGGAAAACTGGATGGAATACATCAAACCAATTAGTCAGACTTTATCTGAGATGTCCATCATGGGAATGAAAAAAAGGAGAAAAACCCTAGTTCATGGCTACAGAAGTTGAACTGTTCCTTTTATTTCTTTTACTTTACTATTTTTGGTGAACTGGAAACAGAGTCAGGAAATGAAATGTATGTCCTGGACATAATTGCGTTGGTGTTTAAGAAGAGGCACGGTTTATTATTTATTTCTCTCTTTTTTTAATTCATAGAAAAAGTCTAAAGAAGAGTGTCATGTATTATTTCAATAAACTGTCTGGGAGATGAAACATTGACTCAGTCACTGTGTACCGGGTGTGTGCAGAATGTATGTTGAAATGTTTCAATAAAGAGAAACTTTTAAAAAAAAAGAAAAGGAGGAATGGAATATCGTCATTTTAAAACAAAAGTGAATTCTAACTTGTGTTTCCTTTGCAGTTTAGTTGATCACATAAAGAGACATTTTAAGTATTAAATATGTTTTATTTTCCTAATGTGTACACACCCAAACAAACAGGATACAGGATGTACTTCATAAATGATTTTGTTTTGTGGTGTTTTAATAACACTGATTGCATGATCACAATTGGGAAAAAAAATTTAAAAATACATTTTATTTAAAAAATATATACTTCTTTTTGTTTTTCATGTTGAGAATATAAATACCTAGCATTAGGATGAGCACTCCACTACAGACTAGACTGTCCAAACATGCTGCTGTTCTATAGTATACTGTGTAGTTCACGTGGCCATTGATTATCCATGAATTGCATAATAATAATAATAATAACAGTATTATACATGGGTATATGTCACATACAGTATATCTGTGGCTGATTATTGCAGATGTTAACGCTGTGTGATAAGGAAGAGCATGGAGGGCTACTAGACCACTACCTGAAGAATCTCCACAGCCTTGGTGTGTTTGGGTTGGACAGAGTCTGACTTGTTGCGGCCTCCTTTCTCTGCTGTGCTCATTTTATCGTAGAACTCCGGCTGACCGCTCTGCTGGTGGCCAAACTCAAAGCTGATCCTGAGCTCTCCCATCTGGCAGCGGGGAAGAACGTCAGGGATCCACTCAATCACAAACGGAGTGGCCTCCTTCTGATCTGCTGTGCCTGTTCCTGCTGGAGACACAACAGTGTAAAACACAGCTGGGCACATGGTCCACATGGTGCTATCGCAGCGTTAAATAGTAAAGAACAGGTCACACACCAACTTTGAGGAAGGTGCGGAGCTCCATCGGTCGTATCGCCTGCGGCCGATCTGTCCTGTATCCCTCCGGTAGTTCTGGCTCAGGCGGCGGCTCGGGGCAGCGGAAACGTGAGTAAGAACCATCCACGTTTTTCACAAAACTCTGAGTGACCTCAAGCGGCAACTGGTGGAGAAACAGTGAAGTGAGAGAGATAAAGAGCACACATTATACATACATATATATGTAACAACTGACTGAAGTGAATGCAGACCCTTCATGAAGGTAATAATGTATGATTGTGTGGAGCAGCTGAACAGAGCCAAATCATACACAGAGGTGCTTCTATTACTAAGCAAGTCCTTGTTCATATAAATAAGGTGGACAAACTTAAAACAGCCATGAGTCAGTTCAGCAGCATCATAAAATAAACTAAAGCCCCATTAAAGGACCTGCAAGCACTTATTTTACATTTTATATTTTTAATAAATAGCCATTACTTTGTAGAAATCTGCTTTCAATTTGACCTGAAAGACTCTATTTTTTTAAATCCTTTTCAAAAAAGCCAAATTAAACTGACCTTGATTCAATGATGAATAAAGGTGAATAAAGAGGAAAACTTCCAAGAGGGGTGACTACTTTAAAAAGTAACTGTGCATTCTCCAAAATAACCATACAGTTGCATCAGCCCCTCTCTGAAACAAAAACTGAAAATGACAACCTTCACAGAGGGAGGATTTCTTGCAGGACTGTTGTATTAGACTGCATCAGTTTTAGCTTTAGTATTTCTTTAATCTATATGCACAGCTTGTTGTACCAAACTATGACAATTTTTCATCCCCACCATGATAATGATACTAAAAATAAGGACACAACAGTTTATATACACAGATTTGTGATTTTATCAATCTTACTTTAAATGTTGGTGATTTTTAAATTTCATTTAGCTGCACTAATGAAGCACTTTGTAACTTCGATTACAACTTTGATGGAGATCTGATGTTAATTAATGCTGCATCTTTGCTGCACTGAGCTCTGTCCTTTACTCTCTCAGGCCTCATACAGACAAAGTGGAGCAGCCTGAGAGGTAAAACCCAGGGCAGAAAAAAAATCCAGCTGCTCCACAGCAACTGTTTACATCAGATCTTCTCTCTTTGACCGTTAGAAATGTTGCGTAGGGAAACTGTGACGAAATCTGTTTTTACAAAAAAGATTAATCTAAAAATAAAAAGTAAATCTATGAAGAAATGTTTCACATTTTACAGAGTCAGAAGAATGTCCTCCCATTCCCAACAAAACTCACTCCCTTAGCAGTCAGCTTTTACCTCGGGAGTGTCAAAGATGCGTTTGACCTGCATCAGGTTGGTGATGTGCCAAGTGTACTTGGAGAAAGAGCCCAGAGGAAGGCCGTCGTTTCTCACAAACGCTGACATCCACATGAAGAGACAAAGAGAGAGACATGTGTTCATGTATTTATGGTTAGTTTAGTCAGAGTAGCGGGATCCTTCACCATGTAAAGTTTTTAGCAAAAGCACACAAGTAACAACCTCAGAACATATTTAAATTATCAATAACACATGCAAAGCTTCAGGATAACGCTAACTAATCTCAGTTTCACCAAATTCTTCTGGTCACGTCAACAAACATGTTACTATTTTTGTGGTATTGTGGCCTTCATCAGAGTGTGAAAGAAATCACAGGTCCTGTCATTTACATACAGGAGCTGGCAGACAACTGGCTTAACTGCTACATGAAACGATCTGAGAGGTTTAGAGGGGAAATCACTGCTCTTCTGTGCAGGATTCACGGGCAGGAAGCCAAACAGCTCACAAGTCACTGGGTTAATTAACACCATAACTGTAAGACTACTCTATCGTTATCTGTATTATTATTAAATCAAATACTCTATAAAATTATAAAAAAGTAATAATGAAAAAAAAAAAAAAAAAAAAAAAAAAAAAAACAAAGACACTAAAATACAAAACACACATTTCCAAGAAAAAAAATCTAGAAAAGTGTGTTTTTATTGGTCAGGAACCAAATCGCTTCACTTTGTAAGGTTGGATCAAGCTCATCACTCCACAGACGCCAACCTTTGCTGTGGGTTATACCTGCAGTGGATGACTTAGTTAAATTATAGCTTGTAGTCAGATTTTGCAATCAGGAAATACTATTATTTGTAGCGTTTGTGCATCAGGAGCTACAACACATATTGCACAGATGTAAGGCCACGTTGTTTACTGTTGCACCTCCTCACTAACTCGTCTCATGAAGCTGATCCAGTCTTGCAGAGTGAGAGATGTGGCTCCCTTAAACAAACTAACAAACAGAAAGTCTATTTTTTGTGTAAATTTACACCTTTAATATCTGGTAATTTTCTGATGATTTTTTCCCAAAACTAGGACTTCATAATCTCTGAGAATATTCTATTTCTTTTCTCATAAATGTACGATTTTAATATCAGAAATTCTGAATTATTTCATTTTCTACCTCCTCCTTCAGCCCCTCAATGTTTTTTTTGTTTTTGTTTTTTTTAACAAAAACTTTGAACACCATTGTAGATATTCAGGTCTAACGCGACACACACTTGTAGCACTGGTTTCTATTCACAGATATCTAATTTATGAAATGCAAACTAAACCATACTTAATAAACTCCCACCTGTTGTGAAGTTGGGCAGTCTCCTCTTCTTCGATCCGAGCGAGAGACGCTGTTGCAGAGCGTTGAAGAACTCTTGGGGAATGTGATAAACCAGAGGCTGTGGTTTCCCTGATGGAAAAGACAAACAGAAAACAACTTTTTTACTGTGTGCAGTAAGGAATCAAAGCCAGGCAACGTGCAGAAACACACAGGCAGAGATATGTGCTGTAATCAGTCTTAAACACTGCACAACTTGGGGTGACTTCTCTCGCTATAAACGTTTTAATGAAGAGTGTGAGTTACAGTTTTTATTAATAGTAAATAACTCAGTTAATAATGCAATTTTGCATTTAAAGTCAGGGAAAAAAAGATGGTATTCTGCAGCTGTAACTGCCCACAAGTTCAACTCAAAAATGTATCAACAGCTTGTTTACGCTGCCACCGTGTGGTCATATGAATCAACTACTGGAAGTTTAATAGGTCAAAGAAATGCCAATAGTCATGGTTAAAAGTCACAAATTGAAATTAGTCAAGGGTTATAAATAATAAGAAATTGCTCAGAGACACTGTTTTCCCTGCACAGAGGAATTTCTGGTATCTTTTTTTTACCATTTAGTGCTAACTGGGGTTTCACTTCTTCAAGCATCGTAGTCATTTTTGCATATCAAATGGTCAGACATAACAGGCAAATGCATAGATGTCTATCAAACTAGGGAACACAGGCTCAACATCTTTACTGTGTGCGGACTGATCATGCTTAGTCAAATACCAAAGGTCCATTCTGAAACCTTGAATGGACTTTAAAACTATTTACTTCTTCATTAATTTGTTATTAAGTAGTAATACAGTCAAAGAACAATACTGGTTCGCAGCTGACCAGTGATTTGCATAATTGTATACGCAAAACAGTTGCTGGGATCAGGGACAGAAAACAGAAGCATTTAAATATGATCAGACAGGCTGCCAACAAGTCTCAAGAT